ACAAAGTTGAAAACAGAGGGCCAGAGTTTAGTGGAGGAGGTCATCGGCAGATCTGTTATTGGGTGATCGAGTGTCGTTTGCCGACGAGCACGTGCACACGCGTACGGTTTGTTACACGTAAACGCGACACACGAAGTTAATGGGAATCTGGAAGCATGGCAGGTTAGCCCGACAAGTGAAAAAAAAAGAGTGAAGTGCACAGTACAAATGCAGGCACTGGAGGATGTGTTCATACGTCCATGTGATAGTAAGCGTACGTGCTACACGAGCACGTGCATGCTGGGATCGACGAATTGCTCTGGATTATTATTCAGAATTAGGATTGCACGTGATGCTACCATGCTGCGGGCTAGCCGAGACAGCAAACCAGAGAGCCTGAAACTAATAGCAAGAATGGTATTGGATGCGTGTTAAAAGCCAAGGCTGATCGATGGCTGTGCTCGTTTTACTGTATTTATTTTGTTTTGTTTTTTCGCCTTCCTACTTTTCTTTATCCTCTTCATTTAGTTTATGCAATGAGGCCTCAATCATTTCATTATGAATACCATAAGTTATAAAAAATCCAAATTCAACGTTCTGTATATTGCAAGCGAGATTACAAGTATTAATACAAGTAAAATCTACCGTGTGCAAGAGTGAGTCAACAATATTGTTTAAACTACTGCCTTCAATCAAATTAAAAGACTAGTAATGCTACTAAATTAAAGTAATTACATGCCAAAATTTAATTGTCTTTAATGTATTTTTTCACAAAAAATATTTACATTATCTCTAAGAAATTTGCGTTTCAAAAAAGTTTACATAGCGCTTAATAACACGAAACAAACGTATTCAAATATAAAATAGGTGTTAAAATGTAAATCGCACAAAACCAGCATGCTTGGCTTGATATGAAACGGCACCTTTTGTGTTTAAATTTAACCTGATTTCAAACAGAAAAAAGAATATTAAAAAATAAAGAAATTTNAAAAAAAAAAAAAAAAAAAAAAAAAAAAAAAAAAAAAAAAAAAAAAAAAAAAAAAAAAGAAAAAACACATTAAAATTGTATATTTAAGGTAGCTTGGGGGATTTTTTTTGGATTGATCAAAACCTCTGGAATTCTTCTGGAATTATGTAAATAAAATATGCCAAATTCATTTGCGATAAAAAAATACTGGAGTCAACGACTTAATTTTTTCGCAAATTGCTACTGAAAATTTACCAATTTAACACCTACTCTTATGGACAGTGTCGATTATATCTTCGAAAATCTTTGATTAACATCAAAAATTTAAAATAGTTCTTGTGTATTTTTTTACAAAGAATCTATTAATATCTTAAAAATATAGGGTCAACGACTTAACTTAAGAGAAAATCTGAAGAAAAGTATGAAATAATAATCTGGCTTGTCTCGCAACATCACCTAATTTTCACAATTATAATTTCACGGTACTTTTCTGGCAATTTATTGATCTTGTACTTTGGTTTTGTCGGAATAACTATGTTTATTGAAAAATTTACTGTCAAAAAGCATTGATTTTTTAGGGACCCTTACAGCACCCTACCCTAGGTACGGTACCAACCGCCCAAACCACCCTAATACATTTATTAGTATGTTAGAACCCCCGTAAAATTCCCCTCTTAGCAAAAATAAAAAGTCAGGTAAGTTTGATAAGAAATTAAAACGTTTCCAAAAATGTCTGAAACCTATCTAGAATTGTTCGCTAATGTGCTATCTTGACTCTCTGAACGGTGAAAATCATTTTAAAAAATTCTGAATACTCGTTTTATAACATCTAAATTTTTAACATTAAAATGTTATCGTTATCAAAATGTTAAACAAAATAGTTGTCTCTTTTTAAAATACAAATTTTTTAAATCATTTTTAAAAGACCGAAAAAAATTGTTTACATCCTGTAACTTTTTCACTTTACATTTACTGGCAGAACTTAAACATAAACTTTATTTGGATATCATGTTAAAGAATAAGAATGATCTTTAACTTAAATCCTATAGCTACAATTAAAATTTTTGCTGTGGAGATCAATAGATTGGTCGTACCTTATACAAGATTAACTTGTATTTCTATACCTTATTGTCATATAAACAGTGCAAAAAGCATGCTGTTTTTGTGTAAGTGTAAGTATCGTCACCCGAAAAGAAATGCGAGAATAATAATTATATTAAAAGGTCAAAAGAACTATCCCACTCAAAGACGTTTTAGATTGAGTTTTGACATTCAGAATATGCAGATTTGATATATAGAAGGTTTGTTCAAGCACAAAAAAATCGTTTTTTGCACAGAGCACGCAGTGTAACCCAGGGTTGGGCACTTTCTATCCAATATTCAGGTACCAGAAGTGGAACTTCACACATAGAGTACAATAAAATGTTTGTTGATACTTACACGGTCATGAGGAGGCTTTTTACAATTAACATGCTGACTAGAGGATTTATTCAAAAACAATTTCTAGTACCACAACATGCGGTAAAAATGTAGAATCTGATACTTTTTTTCAGGTGAAAATTTTTTAAACAAATAATCCGAATATAAGAGAGACATATTTAGCCCAAAATTACAGAAGATGAATTGATTCACCAAAAAAATAAGTTTATAAAAAAATATGCAGTTATAATCGACCAGTTATTTATACCAGTTATTTAGACGAGTTATAATGTACCAGCGGACATTTTTGGTAGACTAATGAACTTCCATTAATTCCAATTAATGTAACATTATCATAAATTTTTTTGTTTGTTTATTGCGCAACATAAGTTTCACCCTTCTAAGTTAATAATGACTTGATCAAACTGTTCAATATGTAATATTGGTGGTTACCTTATTTTTCTATAAATTTTTCGTAAGCAGAACAAAGAAATGATTAATAATCCTAATACCAAAAACCGTATGAGATTTACCAATGAATAATGAGAATGTAAATAAATTAAGTATTTAAAAGAAATTATGTAACATTATTTGTAATTATATTGACTTAATACTTTAATCAAAAATTTTGCCGTCCAAACAATAGCGGTTATAGTCACATTGGCTTTGTCCCCTCGTAAAGCACAGAGAATCAAACTTTGTCATTCAAAAGCGAGGGGGGAGCTTTTATCATCCTCTCTGCATGCTCATTCCCTACCTAAGACGTTAGAATCGTCCCGATGACAAATTTTCTCCCCTTATACAGCCTTTATACGGTCGTTTTTCTTCTGCCTCGTTTATTCCGCGAGCTTACAAGAAAAAGAGGAGAGAGAAGAACCCTAGCCTGGAAGCCAAAGCGTGCCAGCGAGGCGCCAGCTGTTGCGATTGTGAAATACCCGCCAAAAAACTTTACGATCTAAAGTTTTGCACAGTTTTGCTTGGTGTTACTATTATGCTGTGGTGGGCGAGAGCGAAAAGACCACAACGACGACGATAAAGACGGTGCCCATCCGCTACGAAAACTTTGAGCAACAATCATTTCATTAGTGTTACTTGGTTTCGCGAGGCTCATCATAAATACTGTACCATTTTTTAATTCACTCTCGTATATTTTAAAGTAAATGGGGCTATAATGGCTTGGATTTTCAGCGATTCATAATCCTAATATATTTTCTGAAACCATAGATATTTTACAATGCGTTAGCCTTTCACAGTGAATAACGTGTCGTTAGGTCTTGACGAGATGTTGAATGTTTTTTTTTCGATTATTTGATTTAAGGAAATCATATCTCAATTCATGAGTTTCTAAATTAATGTTAACCTTATTATTCAATTAGTTATAGGAGGTAGAGGAACTCACTTTGTGGATGTTTAATCGTGTGGGTGTACATACTGTTCAAACGCAATGTACTGTATCATCAGTAGTTGCTAAGGAGGTTTGGTCGTTTTTTAGTAGATTTATTCACTCGCTGGAAAAAATAAATGTTGTACTTCAACATACTGGAAGTACATATGCATTTTTTCAATATTTTCAATATTTTTATCAGCCGTGTTTTCAAGAAAAAAATTCTCGAAATTGTATGATTTAACATTGCTCTTATGGGCAAGAGCGATTATTCAGCGTTTGCTGCACAAATTTCAAGGCTAGAGATTTATTCATGATGAGAAAAAAGTTCAAATGGATAGCTTAACTTCTAAGGAAGACACTCGTATCAAAAAATGTGCATCTTATCAGGCATTTGGAAGAAATATCTGTACAAACGTAAAGAAAGTCGCGAGCAGGTCTTATGCTAAGTGTATGGGAGAGAACCGAGCATCGTCTGCTGTCAGCTGATCTTTTCACATGCAGCGAAACATCTTTACAAAACTGCTTCTAGAATGTGTTAAACTAGAAATCATATTCTGAAACTTGGCCCAGTCTTTCTTAAGACTTGAAACTATAATACTGTGCAAAAAAAGTTTATTTTTTGAAAATTCATAACACACTTTTGTTGACGAAAGTTAAGTCTCCTCTTACTTTTTTTAGGTTATTTTTTATCGTGCAAATAACATGTTTTTAAGTTTTTTTACTCGAACTATCGGACACAAGCTGCGTTAAAGTATGTACCGTAATTTGTTCATAACATTAAATGGTTTAACTTTTGAACACTGACGAGTTGAACACAATTAAATTAACCGTAATGCAATCGGCAGACGTTTTCATGTACGGTTAGTACAACTCACTTTAACAAGGTGTCTTATGGGAGTCCTCGCACAACCGCTCACCTCCTAGGAAAAACGGCCGAACCTCCTTAAAATTTGATTTTAGACACTAATTAGTCAGCTTACTTGCTCGCAACTTAATTCTATTTTTTTTTTTTGTAATTTAGGAGAAAAATGCCTTCGTTTCATTTTTCGTGATAAAATTAAATGTACCACTCATAGAACAGCATTTCTACGTTTTTGACGCAATGTTCTAGCAGCAGTTTGAAAAAATACATTTTTTTTTTTTTGTGTATTACTTTTTGTATAGACAAAATCAAGTTATCGTTATTTTTTAAAATGAAATGGTACTAACTACTTATACGTTTCATAAACTTATTTGGATCCAACTTACATTCAAAACTGCACAGTGCAATAGCTATGCGATGTCTACCGAATCTACTACTGATTTTTGGAAATTTATTTTAAAGGTCCTTGTGATCTTCTTATCTGAAACCAAAAACCAAAAAAAAAGTTAATTTTGTGTTTATTACATTTAAATATTTTTATAGTAAAAAGTTCCAAAAACTTTTCTAAATTACCTTGTTACAAATTTTTATTTATCAATATTTTTAAGAAACTTAACCATATAAGTCGCTTCGAATTATTTTTTACATTTTTGAAATGTTTACTTAATGGAACCCCATGTGTCGTAACTATCAGATTCAGGCCTCACCGGATGATAATTAATTAAATAAATCATTAAAATGTTAATGTGGTTGATAAACATATTCACAGCATGCATGTTTTTTTTTTTTTTTTTTTTTTTGTAATTTAAGTATATTTTTCCATATCAAAATGATTCTGAAAGTCTTCTATTATTAATTAAGTGAAAAAATGTAATTAATTTTAAGTATATCAGATGATTTGTATAATGGTACACGATTGTGAATAACTAAATCATTTAAACATAACATAGAAGGTGAAAGAATAGTTAGAAAAATTTAAAAGAAAGGAAAACATTTCTTGGATAGAGGTTTTTGATTAAATACTTTAAAACCAAAATTTTTATTCAATTTATTAAATTTTCTGTTCTAAAGATATTAAAATAATTATTTTATGACTATTTAGATAATACATAGATGGGTACAGTGGAGGTTAGAAAAATAAAATTTATTGACTTATTTTAGTAATTAAAAGGAGACTGATCGAAAAATAATTCTTTGTTGTTTATTAGGGCTTTACAAGATGACTTGTAAAAGTAAACGACATTTCTGCGGTTTCTATTGCTTTATAGCTATTATAAACTAAGGTAGATGTTTATATGATGTCATTTACAATAAAAAAATCAACGCCTGAACTTCATACTAACGAGTGAAAATTTGTATTGTCTTATAAAACTTACTTTATGGTAATAAAAATTAGAGATTAATTATCATGTACCTTCATGTTATTATTAGTATACATATGGTCGATATATTTACTTCTTTAGCAGTCTTAAAACAGCTTAATTCTAAAAATAACTTTTTTTTTATTTGATAAGAATTTTTTTTGTTGATGACAAAATTTTTTTGATGAACTATGTAAAAGTGTTTCCTGAAAGAAGATGTAGGGTTAGGGATCGTATTATATAGTTAATTTTTAAACAAAACCTTATCTAGACAGTGAAAATACAGTAAAGGGTAAGACAAATTGTGTGGGGGGGGGGCAGAGGGGGGCTTGACTCATTTTAATTAGGGTTAAAATAATGGAGAAATGAGACAAATATTCCAGTTGGATATAAGGATGGAAGACCGAGTTGTCTAAGGGGAACTTTGCAAGGGGCCCGCACGAAAAACTAACACCTTTGGAGAAATAGGATGGAAATTACGAAAAAAGAACAAGAAAGGGTAGAGATTTAGGGACATAGGATACGTTAAAACCCTGCAATAGGTGTACGTTGGAATCTTAGTACAATATACATGTCATGTCATGTAGATGACAAAGTAAAAAAGCCTGCAATTTCATGCGTATTTTAGCATCATTTTGCAGCTTCTACAAAATGAACGCACAAAAATCCAGCTTTTGCGGGTTACACGACCGCAGTAGCATTAGCTCGTCAATTTGGAGCGTAACAGAAGTTTCGTGCCGCAAAAACTTGCAAAAACATTTTAAAAGGAAAGGGAAATTTCTCTATGAGTGTATATATATATAATTGCGAGAGAAGTTCTGGAGAGAACGTGAGAGAGAGTAAAAAAAGGAACGTCTAGTCTACCCACATCGAGGTATCGAGGTATTACAGAAATATGTGGTCCACGGAAGGATGATCCTCTCAAAAATTTTACAGACAAGACCAAAGAGAAAGAAAGAGAGAGAGGAGGGGGCTTAGTTGTATCAGGGTATGGGCATAAAAAATTTGAACATGGTAGCCTTGAAGGTTTTTCAGCTAAACTACGTAAAACGCGAATGTTAGCTCCACGAAACAGAAGCTTTGTAAAACAATATTTACAAGAGAGCAAGTTTTTTGGCACACACTATTAGGATCCAACTTACCAAGTATTAAAGTATTATGGTGAACATGAAAAAAAAAAAAAAAAAAAAAAAACGAAAGCAAAGTCTTTTCTGAGATATTTTGAATAAGCTAGAAAACTATTTAAATATTTAAAAACTTTAAGTTCTTAAAAGTAAGGTGTAATTAAATTTATGGAGCATTCCAAAAATGAGTGTTATCAAAAGTCATGCATATATTCGTAGAGCTTGTTTGTAACTTCTCCATAAAATCAAACAAAAAAATCGCTAACTTTGGTCATCAGTGACTTCTGGCTCAGACATTTTTCATAACTGAGCAAGTACCTCTAAGCGAAAGTTTTTTCATGAATTGTCCTGTACCTATGTGTATACTTCCTTTTGGCGATAAAACTTTTTTCTGAGGATATCTTTGTGCCTTAAGTTTTCCACGTGTATCACCCTCATGTTAATATTTATGTATACAAGAAATAGTAGAGCGATTCAAAATGCACCATCGATGCAGTATTGCATGATTTTTATAATATTAGTTAGCGTGTATGAAATAGGCTTGAAAAACAAGCGATAATGGCAGTAAAATTGTAAGTGCAGCTACATCCGCTAAAATATAGGCTGAAAGTTTTAATAGCGTAAGCGTTAGTCAGATGATTTGTGGTAACAAAAAAAAATATTTCTTAAACTTGCTTAGAAATTACGAGGGAGTAAAGAAATCTTTTAGTTTCAAGTTGAAATGCGCTGACAATCTACTTTTGGAAATACAGCGAAAATCAGCTGAGGGTTCTTTTGTATCTAAAAAATTAATATGAATAAGGAATTTTAGCTACGAGTTTATTACCTGAAAATAAGTTTTATCTCAAATAAAATTTAGAGATATTTGAGCTTCAGGGTTTTTCTTTCCTCAAAGAAATTTTCCTCGTATCCACTTTACTTATTTCCTTTCCTTCCTGAATCCATACTGCCAATGCTGTAATGCTCATTTTGTATACATTACATCAACTTTGATCTATGAAATTCCTTCCTTACAGGAGAAGTTAAGATACCTGTATTTTCTTGGAAACACTTTTAGCAACGTAATAAGATAACCTCGCAAATCTGAAAGAATTTTACGAAGTAGAGCAAAAAGGTGCCAACTTATCCATTCTTTCCTATATTTTTTTAAATCTTTTGGTTCTTACATCTTGTTATTTTAATGATAGATAATGAACAGTAAAAGAAGGCGTAATAATAAAACATTTAATTCCTTATCTTGTGAGTTATGCATTACGGAGAAACTTAAAGGATCATCTTCTTTATTTTTGTGTCAAACGCATTTAACTAACAATCACTCCAAAAATATGTAAATAATTTCTTGATTTTTTAAAAAGTTCTTATCGATTTGTGAGATAATGATCATAAAGCACATGATGATTGCATGGCTCGAGCTAACAATGGACGTAGGAACAGCAGTGAAATTAAATAGTAACGGATAACCTTTTTTGGAGACCATGCTTACATGTATTTCAAAATTATCTATTGAAAGAGTCCTGAAATTGAATTATTTTGGAATGTTTCCACGAAAAAAAAAATAAAAAACCAAAAAAAATTTCTACTTCCCAAATTAAAGAAAGTTATAAATGTACAACAAATTATCGGTCTGTTATGTATAATAATTACTGTTTAATAGTTTTTACTTGCTGGCTACTGATCTTTGTTGGACGTTCTTATTTTAGTAAAAAAGGACGATGTAATACATTTCGTGGTTAAAATTTTCTAAATAATAGTGGCTTTGATGGTGCCAGCAGTTATTAAGATTTATACATAAAATCATTTTAATAATGTTGCCAGATAATTCACATTATAGTCATTCAATAAAAATGTGTCATTTATCCAGTGGTTACTTCTAAAAACGTTCCCATTTGAATTCTATGATACTCCAATCCCATGTAATTTCGAGACAGTAATCACGATTTTCAATGAACGTACATGTATTATACAAAGGCAGAATCATATTTCTCTTTGATTGTAGTTCGAATAACTCCTTAGTTTTGTAAGGATGACCTCTACAAGTAAGATCATTTATAACAATAATTTAACATATTTAAAATCATAATTGACTTATTTCGAAGCGTGTATAAACCCTATTAAGTACATTCTTCTTAAATAAAACCATCGGTAAAAATGGATCTTAAAGATATTTTTTTTCCGCGAAGCTTCACACTTATGCAAGTTATAAAAAAAAATTCAGAATTTTTTTCTGAAGATTCAAGACTTTCGCATATGTTTGTAACCAGTTTCAAATCCACTCTCAAGTTTCAAGTTGATTTTGACAGTTAAAGTAAGGAACTGTTTGAGACCACAAAGCGTGGTGATGCGAATATTCTCGTTTAAAACGAACCTTTGAAAACAGCAATAGATGAGGAACGGGTGAAAAAAAGTTCTACAGCAAAATTTATATCTTTCCATTTTATTTTAAGCCACTCGCTACTTCCAAAAAAAGAAGATGAGATTTTCCGAAATAAAACCTAATCGAGTATATTCTCAGTAAACATATAAACTTCTACTATTGCAGGATACGGGCCCTGAAAAAGATGTACCTGGAATGTTATTTTCTTTTACTACGTGCGTAACGCATTCGAATCTTATTTGAAATTTTGCCCCACAATGATAAATCACAGAGGTCTGGTAGATTTTCCGCCATGAGAACTCGTGGATTTCTCCTTTTTTCCGTAAAACAGATTCTTAGAGAATTGTATTTGAAGAAATGCGCACTCCACATATATAAATGTGAGTGAGGACATGTACACATCCATAGATCTACACAAGTACGCTTGCTTTCTTTCTTCCCTTCTTTCTCTCTCTCTCTCTCTCTCTCTCTCTCTCTCTCTCTCTCTCTTTCTCTTCTCCCGGGGCTGTTCTCTCTTCTTCTCCTACATTAAATTTGGCCAATGGAATTTCACAGAAATAAAAGAGAAGGAGAAACCGAGCGATCGGAAAAATTTATCTCTCTTGGTTTTTGTCAT